GTCGTGAGATCAAGCCCCACATCGGGCTCCAATGGAGTCAGCTTGAGATTGTCTCCCTCTGCCCCTCTCCCCACTTGCACACTCTCCCTCTCAAATAAACAAAATCTTTAAAAGAAATCAAATATATGCACAGTCCCAGAAACAAACAGTAAAGCACAAAGTCAACATTACAGGAGCTTAAAGCTGGCAGAACACTTGCCCTCACCTCGCAGGGAGGATCTCTGCTGGAGAGGTACTTCTGGCATGTCCCCCATCTCACTCTCTCCTCCCCAGGGAGGACGTTCTGATGGGTGAAGAGCAGGTACGAGACACCCATGGATCACCCCCTTCCTCCCTCCCAACGGCGTTCCTACAGGAAGTATACTTTCTGCTGTGTTCCTATACTTCAGTCTAAAAGGAGAGCACTCAGGAATGTGCATCTGGCAACAAAAGTTGGCTGATAACCTAGACAAGAGAACTTTTAGTGGCACAGTGGGAGACCGAAGCCTAATCACCGTGGGCTAAAGAATGAGTGGGAGATAAGGAAGTGAGGCACAGAGCAAAAACCTGCAGTGCTGAGGAGTAAAGGAATGGGGCTGGGTGGGGCGTTGCCATCTAGGGGGGTTTTCTGCTTTGCAGTTACTGTTTTATGTTAGCATACCAATGGAAACGACTGTGGAAAAGAAGACTAAAAATGCAGAAGACAGGGACGTGTGGGCGGCTCAGTCAGTTAAGCGTGCTGGGATCAAGTCCTGTATCGGGCTCCTTGCTCAGCAGGTAGCCTGCTTCTCCCTCGGTTTGCTGCTCCCCCTGCTTGTGCTCTCTCTGACCAATTAAAAAAAAAATGCAGAAGACAGAAAAATGACCATAGGAGTGGGAACATCTGTAGCAGTGAGGTCTTTGAGAAGAATGGGATGGAAAAAATCCATAAGTGGAGAAGTTGCACTTTTTTTTTTTAAGATTTTATTTGAGAGAGAGCCCCCACCTGAGAGCCCATGCTGGGGGAAGAGTAGAGAGGGAGGGAGGAAGAATCTCAAGCTGACTCCCAGCTGCACACAGAGCCCCAGGTGCCCAAGGTGGGGGTGGGCCCCCCCTTCAGCCCCCCCTCCAACTCCCCGTGCCTCCCCTCGATCTCACGATCCTGAGATCATGACCTGAGCCAAAACCAAGAGTCAGATGCTCAACCGACTGAGCCACCCAGTCACCTCGAAGTTGCAGTTTCTTTTTTTTTCTTTTTTAAAAGATTTTATTTGAGAGAGAGAGAGAGAGAGCATGAGAGGAGGGAGGGTCAGAGGAAGAAGCAGACGCCCCACTCCCCACTGACCGATTCCGGGACTCCAGGATCATGACCTGAGCCGAAGGCAGTCGCTCAACTGACTGAGCCACCCAGGCACCCTCGAAGTTGCAGTTTCTTCTAAGCAAAAATATTTACTCTATTTTAAGGAGGAAATTCAGAGAAAAATCAGTGCATATATTATCAAGATAGACTTCATGAAAAAGCAGGAACTGCTATATTAATATCTGATAAAGCATACTTCAGAGGAAAGAAAATTCCTAGAGACAAAGAGGGACATTACAGAATGAATAATAAAAGGATCAATCCACCAAAAAAGACATGATCCTAAATGTGTACATATCAATCAGAGCCTCAAAATACAAGAAGCAAAACTAATTAATACAGGTGAAAGGAGAAATAAACAAACCCATAGTTTTAGCTGGGACTTAACAGTCACCACTCAGCAATGGATAGACTTACAAACAGAAAATCATTAAGGATACAGAAGATCTGAACACACAAGATTTGACTCATGTATATAAAACACTGTACCCAACAACAGCAGAATATACATTTTTTTCAAGTGCCCATGGAACATTCATCAAGACAGATCACATCCTGGGCCATAAGACCTCAACAAATTCAAAAGAACTAAAATCATACAGAGTATGTTCTCTGACAATGATGGACACAAAGTAGAAATGAATAACAGAAAAATAACAGGAGGGGCACCTGGGTGGCTCAGTCGCTAAGCGTCTGCCTTCGGCTCAGGTCATGATCCCAGAGCCCTGGGGTCTAGCCCCGCATCGGGCTCCCTGCTTGGCGGGAAGCCTGCTTCTCCCTCTCCCACTCCCCCTGCTTGTGTTCCCTCTCTCGCTGTGTTTCTCTTTGTCAAGTAAATAAATAAAATCTTTAAAAAAAAAAAAAAGACAACAGGAAAATTTAAGGGAGTTCCCGTGAAATTTTTTTTTTCAATGACGCATGAAGCAAGGCAAATGAGGGGAGAGGGAAGAGAAGATATGAAATTTATCCACTAAAGAAACAATTACTGAGTGCCTACTGTGGGCTAAATATTGTTCTAATCACTGGCACTAAAGGAGTAAACTCAACAGACAACAAAGTCTGTTCTCATGACCTTTAAATCGATATAAACTGTCAGTTGTGCTAAGAAGAATAAACTGGATAAAAGAATAAAGATTAACAGTAGGCAAGGTAAAAAAAAAAACAAACCAGGTTATTTTATTGTAAACTGTAGTCAAATGCTGGTCTTTAAATCAAGGGTTCATTATTAAGTTTTCCACTTGCTACCTGGCCTACCGTAATTCCAACTCTAGAATAGGTTAAAATATTTTTTGCAACTTTATTTTCTTGGAAGACCCTGTACGAAATGTCTTTTCCCTACTACTCACAAAACGTGGGAATGGTTAGCTGCTTTTTAAAGTTGTAATTCTCATGAATTAAAAATTTAAAGTAGTTTGTTTCTTGGGCTAGTTTTTGACTTCAGGTATCTTCCTCAACACAATGCCTCCAAGTAGAATCCATAAAGTACTGTAGCATAATGTGCAAAGGAAGAAAATTGTGTCCAAACAAATGAAGCACTAGCCATTGAGCGCCCAAAGCACTTAAAGAAGAGTTTCACTTAGCTGGTTTTCTTAACAAAAAGAAGAATAAAGTAGCACCTATTGCCCAGCTTCCTGTTCCCCTCCAACCCTCTGTACTCCAAAGTAGTACGAGCCAGGCAATCTGGCTTAGGGTCTCCATGCAGACATGGCAGGCCAAGGATATGTTGCTAAATTCTTTGTTCAATGATGGGGCTGTGCTAGGCTCTCATTATTTTTTTTTAAAGATTTTATTTACTTATTAGAGAAAGAGAGCGTGCAAGCAGGGGGAGCGGCAGGCAGAGGGACACACACACACCCACCCCTGGCAGAGAGCCCGACGGGGGCTTGATGACCGGAGCCTAAGGCAGACACATAACCGGCTGAGCCACCCAGGGACCCCAGGGCTCCCATTTTTTAGATACTAGGCTTGTTCTGACTGCAAAAGTCATTTATGTTTAACCTTGGTTTCAAACGATCATCTAAATAAGTAAGGTTTTAACTGTAGTGGTTCTTATACATGCAGTAGCTCTACTCTTAAGGAGCAAGGGTTGGTAAACTATGGCCAGCAGGTCAAATCCAAAGTTTAAAAATAATTGAACACAGCCATGCTGATTCGTTCACCTCTCTATGGATGCCTTCACATTATAACTGCAAGGTTAAGGAGTTCTGACAGAGACCCCCTGGCCTGCAAAGCCTAAATACTATCCCACCCCTCACAGGAAAAGTTTGTTGACTTATGGCTCAGTCGGTTGGGCATCTGCCTTCCGCTCAGGTCACGATCCCAGATCCCTGGGATGGAGCCCCATGTCAGGCTCCCTGCTCAGTGGGGAGCCTGCTTCTCCCTCTGCCTCTCCCCTCCACTTGTTCCCTCTCTTAAATAAATAAATAAAATCTTATTTAAAAAAAAAAAAAAGAGTATTGCTTCTCTCCCTCATCTGTATAAGAGATCCTTCCTAATCCACCCCGGCCTATTTCTCAGTACTCACTGCCCAACTCCACTCTCCCTCACTAGCTTTGTTCCAACTATTCAGAACTACCTGCAGTCCCCGTAAATAAGCCGTGCTCTTAAGGCAAGAACCCACGTTAACTGCTATTCTCTTTGACTGCCACCCCCTCCTTGCCAAACAGATTTCACATGGTTCTTTTAAAAACTCAGTCATCCGGGCGCCTGGGTGGCTCAGTTGGTTAAGAGACTGCCTTCAGCTCAGGTCATGATCCTGGAGTCCCGGGATCGAGTCCCACATCGGGCTCCCTGCTTGGCAGGGAGTCTGCTTCTCCCTCTGACCCTCTTCCCTCTCGTGCTCTCTATCTCTCATTCTCTCTCTCTCAAATAAATAAAATCTTTAAAAAAATAAAATAAAAACTCAGTCATCTGCTCCTCCTACCTAGATGCCTGCCCCTCTATTGGGCAGCATGCTTTCCTACATATACCGCAATTTTTAAGTCGGACTCCCTTACTAGTTCTTCAATGGCAGAAGTTGTTTCTTTTGTTTCTTACTCCAATTCCTTAACCAGTGGCTGACACATTGTAAGTACTCGAAACTTCCTGGTTCAATTCCTGAATAAATTCTTGCAGGATGTCAAATAGCTGGCGTGTTTTTTGAGATACTTAAGCTGGAAATGCAAGCTGGGAGAGCGAGGGCTTGATGCCATAAGCAGAGATGTAGAGACTAGAGGGAGAAGGGGAGGCAACCTACTCAAACACGGCCTGTCCTGGCTAAACGTCTATAAATTCTCCAATTGACAATCCCTCCCTCTTCCTCGCTTCTGTTGCCTGGCTTACCATTTCTAACCGCAGTTAACGTGTGACAGATTCGGACCGTCAGCCTAGCGAGCAGATACCAGGAATTGCACACCTATCTGTGCCCGCGGTGGGGGTGCCTTCCTCCGCCTCCGCTCGAAGCGCGCGCGTTAGCCTGCCCTTCTCAGAAAACTCCCAGGTACCGGGGGCCGTCCCCGGGTGCGAAGGCGGGAGGGGTCGGCCGGGGGGCTGCAGTGCAGGGCGGCTCGCCTTCTCTCCGCCGAGCGCCCCGCGCGCCCCGGGCTAGGGCACCCGCCCCGCCTGCCCCGCTCTCCCGGCTCTCGGCCGCCCACCGCCCTGTTCTCATCTCTCTCGCTCCCGTCCCAGACTCGGCGGCTCTCACCTCCGTCCCAGACTCGGCCCTGCGTAAGTCACTACACATCGCCCCGGAGGCTGGGCTAACCAGACACTCAACTTTCCCGCCACTAGCGCCATTTACCGCGAACGGAGGAAGTCCCGCAGCCAGTCAAACGCGCTGACCCGTGACCCGGGCGCGAGCATGCGCATTGCGCCCGCCCTGAGCCAGGGCGGCGGCGGGCATGCGCAGTAGTGTGTACTGGCGTCCCTCTCCCAAGTGACGTCAGACTCCGTCTCCAAGGAGACCCAGAGGCAGCTGGTGATTTTTTTTTCTCTCATAAGCTTCAGTTCGTTTTTATTAGGTAAAACTAGCAGCATGTACTTTTTTTTTTTTTACTATAAAAAAGCAGTTACTGAGTACGCAGGGCTTTTTGTCTGTTGTGGGTTAAAAGCCTCTGGCTGGTTATACATGTGATTCATGGTTAATTCTGAAAACAAAGAATTACACTAAGTTTGAAAGAATCTATGTAATTAAGAAATAATTATTATAATAATAGTAATTACAGCTAACACTTATAGTGCTTAGTATGTGTCCTTAGTGCTTTATATGTAATAATTCATTTAATCCGCACAGTCCTATGAGGTAGCTACTGTTATCCCCATTTTACAGACGAGGAAACTGAGGCACAATTTTGGCACACATGACCAGAGTGTAGTGGGTCAGCACATTAAAGGGAAGTAGGAAAGGAAGAGCATGAATACAAACAGTTCTTCAAAGAAACTTGGTTGTGAAGGAAGGAGATAATATAGTACCAAGAAAAATCAAGGAAGAGTCTTTCAAGAAGGCAAAGCCTGGGACATGTTTAAATGCTGACAGGGAAGAGCTGTGGTAACTTACCGGTTAAAGAAAGAGAAAGAAAACCGGATGGAGTCATGACCTAGAGACAACGGAGGGTGTAGGTATAAAAGTTAGCTTTAGCTGTGGGAGAGTAGCTCTTTCGCTGTGAGTAGAGACAAGGGTTGAGAATGGGTACAGATGCAGATAAATTTGGGGATGAGAAGCTCAAAGAGCTTGAGAAAGTTCGAGTCTGAGGTAGAAAGCAAGGTAGTAGAAATCCAGGACTCCTCTTGTGAAAGTTAATTCCTCTTGTGAAAGTTGAATTCCTCTTGTGAAAGTAAAGTGTGTGCCTAAGTTAACTGCCTGAATTAATGTTACCATCTACAGGCTCTGCCAAAAACCTTCCTCTGAAATCCATTCTTGGTTCATTCTGTACACAGAGCAGCAGTGACTGACCTAAGTGCTCTATGGCAGAAATTATTTTAACCAGGATAATTTTCCTTAACACTTACTGTCTACAATCACATTTAATACACAACATATATTAGTACTATTCTTTCATTGCACAGAGCTTTTCTCCCTGAGTTACAATTTTCTTGAATTTCAAGATAAATTTTCTGAAATCATCATGGATTTTGATGTCAGATACACCTGGAATTTTAAATCTGGTTCTGTCACTTATTACCATGATACACATCACTTACTACCCTGGACTTTAGTTATTGTTGTGTTGTCGTGATGAAACTATGTACTTAAAAGAGCTAGCACAGCACCTAGCACAAAATATTGATTCCCTTCCTACCTCCCTATCTTTCTTAAATCATATCTTAACATAGTGCCAAAGATACAATAAATATTCAATACCCATCTCCTGTTTACCATGATGGCAGTGATTAGGGCCAGATTAAGAAATGAGCCTGTCTGGCAGTTGTCCAGGGTGATACATTATAAAAGCTGCTAAAACTTCTCTATGTATTAAAATATCACAGGAATATGAGATGGAAAAAACGATTTTTAATTGCAATTCTTTTCAAACAGGATACTGTATGTGGTTGGGAAGAAAAGACACTTGGAAAGATGGTAAAACAGGCACCATGAAAGACAACGCTTGAGTAACAGAGTTACTATGCATAGGTTTAACTGATTGGGGATAGAAGGTAAGTGAACAAGTAGGTTTAGCTGATTGGGATAGAAGGTAAGGTGAACGCAACCAACATTCATTCACCTACCCTGCCTTCTCCCCACCCACTCCCACACAAGGAAGCAGGACTGTGAATCTCCAAAAATATGTCGGCAATTATTGAAAATGCATCCTTTAGAAGATGTGCCAACTTATTTGCTCCCCGAGGCAAGTCTGCAAATCTTAAAATAATTCTGATAGTATTGATGATAGTGATGGCTTGTGCTATAACCCCTTTTGAACTGGGGTCCTGGATTTCCCAACTTAGAAATGTGAAGTCTAGTTTTTCTAATTCTGCAAACTATCCAAGATATTTGTGTAATGAACAGCTCTGGAAGATAGATTCAGTGTCTCCCTCAGGAGCAAAGTCCTGCTTATTGTCCATTAGAAAAGATTTGTGTTCCTTGAGCTGAAATGTCCTCTCCAATAATGCAACCCACTCCACGTGCAGGTGTTACCTTACCCTCTTCACATTCTCTGTGCTTACTGGGGCTCTTGGAACCAGTATACCGAGATGCTGATATTCTGGCTGCTGGTGTGGACTCTTGTGTCTTTTTTTTTTTTTTTTTAAGATTTATTTATTTATTTCAAAGAGTGAGAGAGAGAGAGAGAGTGTGTGTGTGTGTGTGTGTGCAAGCAGGGGGAGGGGCAGAGGGAGAGGGAGAAGGAGAGAAAGAGGGAATCTCATGCAGATCCCTGCTGAGCATGGAGCCCGACACAGGACTTGATCCCTGGACTCTGAGATCATGATCTGAGCTGAAATCAAGAGTTGGATGCTTAACGCACTGAGCCACCTTGGTGCCCCGTGACTCTTGTGTCTTTTATCAGCATCCAGGAAATTGTGGTTGACTAACTCATTAGCTTACAGGAAGAGTAAAATCTCAGACTCTGTGTAGTTCTTGATGACCCACACTAAGCAATCTATAACAGGATAAGTTAAAGATTTTGAGTGAGCAAAGAAGTTCAGAGAAGCAGGAATGTAATTGTAATTGAGAAAGGCAGGATTTAGCCAAAATAGATGAACGTGTCTTTCATTCTGACCGAAAGGTTTTTTATGCCTTGTTAAGCTTTCTTGATAAAGTTTTGGGCCTAATCTCTAGGATTTGAGAAACTAGAAATTCAGTCCTGGTAATAGTAATGCCCACTTTTGGGTTCTAAGAGGCAAGAATCTGGAACTAATAATATTAGCCATTAATATCAAAGGGGGAAAACTGGAATGAAAAAGTTTCATGAGGGGCACCTGTGTGGCTCAGTCGTTAGGTGTGTGCCTTCGGCTCAGGTCATGATCCCAGGGTCCTGGGATCGAGTCCCGAGTCAGGCTCCCTGCTCAGCGGGAAGCCTGCTTCTCCCTCTCCCACTCTCCCTGTTTGTGTTCCCTCTCTTGCTGTGTCTCTCTCTGTCAAATAAATAAATAAAATATAAAAAAAAAAGTTTCATGAAAAGATATATTTTCACCCATCTATGCTTTAAAAAGCTGATGTAATATCATATACTTATGAAATAATTCTCATAGCTAATACTAAAATTGCTCATGGTATAAACTGGAATGTTTTTGGTTACAAGTCACAGAACACTCAACTCTTATTGGTTTAAATAATAAATGAGAGGGGTGCTTGGCTGGCTCAGTCAGTACAGCATGCAGCTCTTGATCTTAGGGTTGTGAGTTCAAGCCCCATGTTGGGGGTAGAGATTACTTAAAAATAAAAATAATAAATACATACATAAATAAAGAAGTTTATTGGGTCACACAGATGAAAATCCAGAGGTAAGACAGGCTTCAAGGGTAGTTTATTGAGAGGTTGAATCAGGCAAACAAGTACCTAGTTTCTTTTTTTTCTTGTCAGATTCATATTCTCTACCTTGGCCCTTATAGGGCTATGTGTCTGCACCTGAAACATTAATACATTCAGGGAATAAGTTTGGGCTGGTTAGTGGGGGCCTGAGCTACATGCTCCACCCCAGACCCAGGGTTGGAAGTGTATTCTTTCAAAGTGTATGGGCTTTGTGTAAGGTGTAGGTAACAGTAAATAACAATGGCACAACAACAACCCAGTAGTTAGGAGAAGTGGGAGTGGGTGCTGGGGAGGCACCCTCCCTCTCATTATATCCTCCATAATGAGGACACATATATACAAAGCCACATATCTAGGTCATCTCCTCTTCCATTCTGTTCACGTCTCTACACAGGAGTTCTTTCCTTACATGTAAGAAAATCAATATTTGAGAAAGAAGCCTTTACAATTGAATAGCTGCCCTGGACTGATTGAGCTTCTTGGTCCTCACACTGTTCCTAATGAAGATTATGTGTCAGCTGAACAAGCTAAGTTCATTAAGTGCACACCTGTTTGTATGAGCCATCTTGCACAACATGGTTTTGAAATTCAGTTTCAGTGTTCTAGAGATATCACTTCTCTTTTGAAAGACTGTTCAAGGTGTTCTCATAACTTGCTGGTGGAAATGCAAACATGTGCATTCTTTATGGAGGGGAATTTGCCAGTTCCTAACAAAACTACACATTCATTAGCTTTTTAACACAGCAATCCTACTTCTAGGAATTTATCCTAAGGTCGTACCTCCAATTCCATATGGAAATTTAAAATGCATCATCAACTCTGCCGTATGTCTGTGATGTTCGGTACACCTCTAACTTACATGAGATGGTAGCCTCCACTTCTTTCCCTGGGAAATGAGGGATTTGGACAAGATGATAGCTCCCATTTATCAAAAGTCAACTCTGTTGCAGACACTCTGCCTTTTGTTCTATTGTATGATTCCCAACCCTTTCTTGCAAGGTATTTATTATTCCCCCATTTTATAGGTGAGGACTTTGAGGCTCAGAGAGGTTTAATCATCACACAGTCCTCCAGCTAGTAAACCCAGGTTTACCTGACTATAAAGCCTGAGATCTTCCTAACACATTAAGTTGCTTGCAGAAGATGCGAAGGGTCTAAGGCCTTTTATAACTCTAGGTTCTGTGATTCTCTATGATTAAGAAAGGAATCAGCAGGGACACCTGGGTGGCTCAGCCGGTTAAGTGTCTGCCTTTGGCTCAGGTCATGATCTCAGAGTTCTAGGATCAAGTCCCGCATTGGGCTCCTGGCTCAGTGGGGAGCCTGCTT